AACTTTTCACATTTTCGACTTCTTCTCAAGAACTGCTGGGCCAATTTCGACCAAACTTTCCACAAAGCATCCTTGAGTGAAGGGGATTCAAGTTTGTTCAAATAAAGGGCCATGCCCTCATTCAAGGGGAGATAATTGAGAATTAGTGAAAATTTGGTGGTATGTTTTAAAAATCTTCTTCTCAAGAACAACTGTGCCAGGAAAGATGAAACTTATGGGGAAACATCCTCAGGTAGTGTAGATTCAAATTTGTTCAAATCATGACCCCCAGGGGTAGGGCGGGGCAACAATGGCCGACCAAAGTTCTATATAGAAATATATATGAAAATACTTTAAAAATCTTCTTCTCAAGAACAGCAAAGCCATAATTGCTCATATTTATATGGAAGCATCCCCAGGTAGTGTAGATTCAAGTTTGTTCAAATCATGACCCCCAGGGGTAGGGCGGGGCCACAATGGCCGACCAAAGTTCTATATAGAAATATATATGAAAATACTTTAAAAATCTTCTTCTTAAGAACAGCAAAGCCATAATTGCTCATATTTATATGGAAGCATCCCCAGGTAGTGTAGATTCAAGTTTGTTCAAATCATGACCCCCGGGGGGGGGGGGGTAGGGCGGGGCCACAATGGCCGAAGTCAGAGTTCTATATAGAAATATATATGAAAATACTTTAAAAATCTTCTTCTTAAGAACAGCAGAGCCATAATTGCTCATATCTATATGGAAGCATCCCCAGGTAGTGTAGATTCAAATTTGTTCAAATCATGACCCCCGTGGGTAGGGCGGAGCCACAATGGCCGACCAAAGTTTTATATAGAAATTTATAGGAAAATTCTTTAAATATCTTCTTCTTAAGAACAGCAAAGCCATAATTGCTCATATTTATATGGAAGCATCCCCAGGTAGTGTAGATTCAAATTTGTTCAAATCATGACCCCCGGGAGTAGGGCGGGGCCAAACTTTTGGATTTAAACTTTTCAATTGTAAACCAATTAATACTTTTTCCTAGCCACAATGCTCGGATGAGCGATGTGACCCATGGGCCTCTTGTTCATTAAAACTTTATTTTCGAGAAATTAGGCAATATCGTAAATCTGGAAATTTCATGTTGATTTATTTCTGTGAAACTGGGGCATGAATTTTACGATTTAAAATTTTGCAAATAGTGATTAGCACTCAAATTAAAATTAATATTTTCATAACAGTTTATAAGTTACATGTGTATTTACACATTTTCACAATATGCAATAATTTTTTTAATGCCCTAAAATATTTCATCATTAATATATAGATGTAAAGAATTCTTGATTTTTTTTTTATCTTAAATAAGTAAGAAAATGAGTAAAAGAATATTAATTGTAGACCAGATTTGTGTAAAATAGTTAGATATTTATAAATCCATGGGTAGTACCTACTGTTTCAGACTCAGTAGATCCTTGAATCTAGGGGAAAAATTTTTTACTCAGCTTTCATTGCATGCACAAGTAAATGTTTCATGTGGGTAGCAAAAAATTAAGATTTTTTTGTATGGTCATTATAAGATACGTGTATTTACAATATTGTTGATGCTTACACAAAAATTACTCAGTAGAAAGAAATCTAATAAACCTAAACAATTCACATCAATTAGAGATATAAATGCTTCTCCAAATCCTGTTTCAGTCTGGACCAGAGTTCCTACAACCAGAAGTTGGGGAGATAGTTACAGATGTGTTACAGAAAATGGACAGTATATCAGCAAAATCTCTCAGTTCACAGGACAACAATGTAACTTAATACAGCAAAATAATAAAATATAGAATTTTATGTTTTGAAGCGTTATGTTACATTTTGTGTAAACTTTGTATTATGCTAATACAAAATGATGATACACAAAATATCAATACTGCATACAGGGAAATTTTTCCCACCGTTTTATTTTCGCCCCTTTCACCCTTGTCTCAAGTGGGTAAATTTAAAACGTGGGGGAATTCAAAGAACTAAGTTTAATTACTTAAACAGAAATTTAAAACGGGGCAAAAATGTAAGTAAGTGTAGAAGAGGGAATACAAGATGTGTTTGTGAAACACTATGCGCCCGACGAAAAAGTGGGAAAAAAAACTTTTTTTAGTATATAGGTCACAGTCAAGCTCACAAGGTCATTGACCTTGGTGTCATTTGAAAAAAGAAACTTATATAATAAGTCACAGTCAAGGTCACAAGGACATTTACCTTGGTGTCATTTGAAAGGTCTTGATTAGTGGAGTATGCATACCAAATATGTAGTCTCTATCATGTTTCTAATGTTATGGCGAAGGCTCAAATAAGCTATTTAAAGCATATAGGTCACAGTCAAAATCACAAGGCCATTTGAAGGACTTTAATTATTGAAGTATGCATACCAAATATGAAGTCTCTATCTTCCATGGTTCAAAAGATATGGCAAAGGTTAAGGTTTGCAGACAAAAAAGCTATTTTTAGTATATAGGTCATCATCAAGGTCACAAGGTCATTAACTTTGGTGTCATTTGAAAGAGTTTGATTAGTGGAGTATGCATATCAAATATGAAGTCTCTATCTTTCACGGTTCAAAAATGATAGCGAAGATTAAAGTTTGCAGACAAAAAAGCTATTTTTAGCATAAAGGTCAAAGTCATTGCCCTTGGTTTCATTTGAAAAAGCTTAGTGGAATACCCATGCCAAATATGAAGTGTCTATCTCTCATGGATCAAAAGTTATGGCGAAGGTTAAAGTTTGTAGACAAACAGACAGACAGACAGGACAAAAACAATATACGCCCTGGATCTATCGATCCCAGTGCATAATAACATGAGACGAAAATATCCCTGCATTCAGTTTATATATGAAGATTGGACCCACGTTAACAATTTGTTGAAAAATGTATATTATAGGAGCCAAAAGGTTCACCATAACATGAGAAAGCCTGGGAAGGTATTCAATTCGCTTCTCTGAATTTTCAATTTAGGAAACGTGTCACACGAAAAGATAATGAAATAAATGTTTTGGGAGAGTACTGTAATAAAACATCAATGACTTTCTTATTTGACGATTTTTTTTTCATTTGACGAATTTTTGCAGAGAAAAGGTGGACAGAAAATTACTTATCACTGTTCTCTGATTTAGCTGCTTTCTTCTTGGAAGAAAACTTGTCCAATCCGTATTTAACGACTGCCCAACATTGTCAAATAATAACGCAAAGTAGAGATTGAATGTGAGATTCATGTTTTCATAACCAGCAACGCAGTGCAAGATTATAAGTTCGCGCCGAATCCTGTCTTGTCAAAGGTTACTGTGGAATCTCTTTTCATGGGGGTTCAATTTTCGTTGTTTTCGAGGTAAGAATAGACCCACGAATTCATGTCCACCACAAAAGGTAAAATGTCACATTTATAACTACTTAGCAATTCTTCATCCACGAATTCAGATCCCCACGAACCAAGAGTTTTTCCTCAAACCAAAATTTGACCCCACGAAAATATGTGATTTTACAATACATCCTTTCCATTTGTATTGTGTAATTATCTGTTTGTATTCTAAATCTGTAGATATATTTTGTTTGTAGAATGAAATTAGATAAAGCTTTAGCAGCCCATAATGTTATAAAAATGATGTTAAATAGCACAACAGAAATCTTACGATTTCTCTGTTTTTTAAGGAATAATTCTATAATGTCATTTCCATTCAAAATCAGTCTTTAAAGATGCATAGAAACAGATATGAAGTAAATATTTTCTTATAATATCACGACTTATATATTGTAAAACATTTCACGCAAAAACATATTTAAAATCTATATTTCATCTAATCTTAAAAAGTTATCGAAATTTCAAATTTTTGGATGCACACATCTTTTCACTTTCACAAGTTGTAATTTCATTCTTAATACTAGTATTTAGAAAAAGTGGCAATCTTGTGTATTAATGAAACATAATTAAAACTTTAATCCAGAAAAATAATTATATTCAGAGTAAAATTGTTCGTAAGCAAAACCCCTTCACATGTATCGTCCGTCATTCCACGCTTAGTGTTGTATACAGAGTTTAGCAAATTGAACACACCAGTGAAACGTACACAGTTTTTGTAAACGGCACGAGCTCTGTTATTGTTAATGTAATATACTGTATGTATGTTTTGCTTTCAAACATTTCTACTCTGAGTTTTCTGGATTAAAGTTTTATTATTCTTCATTAATAAACAACAAGATTGCAACTTTTCCTTAGTATTAAGAATGAAATTAAAAGTTGTGAAATTGCAAGGATGTGTCAATCAAACCCATCCAAAAATTTAAAATTTCAAGAACTTTTAGACGAAATATAAGATTTTAACAGATTTTCGTGTGAAATGCTATTACATTTTATAAGTCGTGATATTATACAGAAAATATCAACTACAAATCTGTGTCTATGCACCTTTAAATATACATCAACCCATTACATAATTTTTTTGTTTTCCTTAATCCTTAAGATGAACAGTAACGATGTTTCTAACATAAAGAGACATGGACGTCCCAAGAGACAGGTCAAGAATACTAGTATACTATATAGTCGTAGACTTTAATCTTTGACGTCCAGGGTAGTTTAAATACACTCAATACTTTACATTAGAGTTATGGTTGCGGTCCAGCTCAGAGAAAACAATTCTACAGCAAGTTATCGCCATTAAAGGTAGGTACACATGTAGTTGTTCTCCGGTCTATAGTCGCTACTATATCTTTTTATTTTTTTTTCTTCATTTTATCGTTAAGATCAAGGTTTAACAATATGTCTTATTATCATTTTCTTTTTAGCACTAATCCTGGCAGTCGCATTGATACTTCTCCAAAACGGGCACCTGTTCGTCCTGTATAAGTCTTTAACTGGAGGATTTCTAATTCGAGTGATGTATTTCTACGCTTTAGCCATTATGGACTGGATAGCTGATAGTATAGAAACCAGCAACCTGGATATTATTAAGACTTACGTGGCCCTCTATGCAATTGGACTTCTAGTTGTTCTGTTAGGTTATACACTAGTTGCAGTCACCAAATACCTTGGCTTTCGTTTCACTGTCAGTCAATATTCTCGGTATTTCTTCAGTGGATTAATACTTTTTCACCTAATACCTCTTGCAGTTGAATTTTCCTTCCCTTTCATAAGAAAACGGACAAATAAGTTCAAGACATGGTTATATGTAGCAAAACTTTGTGGTATAGAATTCATATATAATTTTATAAGGCTTTTTCAAATTCTAGATGTTTAAAATCACAGCTTCTTTTGTTTTCAATCGTTTCCTTTATATTTAATATTTATTACTATATGTCATGGCCGGTTGATGTCAATGTGACCCTAACTGAGTTAGCATGGCTTAGGTTTTTGTCTCTTTGTGCTGCGGAATGCTGCAAAACTTCTCTTGGTCTCGTGGCCACGAGTATCGTAATCTCGTATGTGTTTTACTACCTCAATGTTTTGGTAAATGTTTATATATATGGTTTGAGAGAATATTCCACGAGATACGGTTGTGTAAACGGCTGGGTGGAGGGATTGTTAGTGTTTCTGATGTGTGTCAGATCTGGGATCTTAACTAACTACAACGCCATGGAATACAAAGTTTTACTAAAAAGAGCGTTTGTTATTAGAATTACGCTTCTTTTCGCTGTGACGGTGTTCCTTAAAGTTACTTATGAAAAATATGAATCTGTTATCTTGTCATTCAGTTCATCACCGACAGAAAAACTATTCAAACACTTTCGCGCTCTTTTACTATATATAATCTTTATGATATGTTCTCTCGTCGTTGCTTTCACAACTAGTCAGCTCGTTCATATAACCGTATGTATCCCAGTCATAATCATTTGCCTGTCAACTAGTCTCCAAATACTGGCTTCTATTGCAACTTATGGCTTGTTTCTATATGATGGTTCTCGGTCATGTCCTTTAGAAAATCTGGACGATTCCGTATATTATATCAGATCTACAGTCAGAGTAATTGATTTCCTAGGTTCAGTTATTCTAGCCTGCACTGGTGTATGGGTCATCAAAACAGAAGGCTTAAGTTGGATTCAGACCCCGATGCTGATTTTGCACTGTTTTATCAATGTCTGGCAGCGGTTTCAAAATGGATGGAAAAGTTTTCTTCAGAGAAGAGAAGCCATGAGAAAGGTTGATTCCTTGGCTTCAGCAACTAAGACACAACTTAGCAACCATGACGACGTGTGTCCAATCTGTTTCAAGTAATGTCATCAGCAAAAATAACCCCCTGTGGTCATTTCTACCACAGGTCCTGTTTAAAGAAGTGGTCATACTTCAGAGATTCATGTCCACTTTGTTATCGAGTGATCTTTTTCGAGTAAAAAAAAATTTCAGCATAGCTTCCACACGGATAGCAAATACTCGAGGACCCCCTACTTTATCTACGGTGGCTCTAGAAAAATCTGATAATTAGAGACTGAATGCTTAGTCACTTTATTAAGGAATAATGAAGTCATGTCAAATGAACTACTATAGTGTAAAAACTTAATGCAATATACAAGTTCATTTATTGCCCCTGTGTTTGTATTTCCACAATAAGTATTAAACGACTCTGTGACCATTTAATCCACTTCACTTTCCAATGGTGATCATTATATGCATTCTAAACAAATTCCAATGGTGTACATCCAATTCTCAGAAATTAATGTTATATATCGTCTGTGTTACATTGTATACATTAACACAGTGTTTGTATTTAGACTACCCCTGGTAAACTTTTAATTGAAGTTATCAAAATAAACATGCACGAATAATTGATCATTTACACATAATTATGTTGTGACTTGTTAATTCTCAAATTTTAACATATTCAATATATTTTAAAATCGACATTAATGTTAAAAATAATTCTATGTAACATGTTTCATAATTTATTAAGTTTAACAATTAAGTTTTAAACAGTCATTGTTTTAATATTTTGATGTGATTACTGTATGGTTTCATCAATGTTTGGAACATCAATTTCAGTGGATAAGTAAACTTCACAGTTTCGGGAATATTTATTCGTTTTAAAAGTCTCTGAAAATGATCTCATCAATAAAATTTTGTTACGTTTTTAAAATAATTAAAATTTCATAACAGTGCTTTTCGTCATATCCTTTAGTCGTGCACGTTATACGATCGGTAGCATTGCAAATACGAACCTAGAAAGGAATAACATCAGAGGTGAGATAATATGCCATAGAGAAGTAAATATCCCATGTCGACTGGTCACAAGCGCCTTTTGCTCCTTGTAATGATTGAAAAATCGCTTGACAATTCAGTATGTAAATACTTGCCTAACAATTCGTATGAAAATATTGAGTAAGCATTTGATTTAATGATAAAGTGTATTTGATGAAACACTCATTGTTTTGACCATAAAACTTACGAAATGATAACTTTAAGCGAGACTGTTGAAATTCTTGTTTCATCAACTTGTTTTTCAAGATCTTGCCTCGTTTTTAGACATGCTTTATGGTATCGAACTAACTGGGAGACAAAAATCTCCATATGCATGTGATGGGGTATATTGCTTCATGTGTTAGGGAATATGACGATGAAGGTATATTGCATAAGAGGTTAGGGAAGTTAACAAAAAAAAATTGAATTCTTGCATTTAAACGTTAAGTTTTGTTATCAGGTTATCATTAACATTTTTTTAGTAAAATATCCCAATTTGAAACAGACTTATTTCCATTTCATTCGGATATTTTGTTTCTTTGAATATATTTAACGTCCCTCTTGAGAATTTTTCACTCATATGGAGTCGCCGTCATTTACCGGTGGAGGGTTCCAATTTTAACCTATTTTGGTCATTGAGCAATAAAGGTGAAACATATGGAGAAAACGGACAGTATCTAAGCTCAAAAGTCCATAAAAGAATACAAAATAGGAGAACACATATGGACCTACGAAACATCGGAGGGAGGATCAGATGCCATGGAGGAGTGAGCAGCCCCGCCCCTGCCGACCGGTCACATCCGCCGTGTGCTCCTTGTCATGATCAGGAAACAACGGAAAAATCCGTCGTCAATTCAGTGTACAAATAATAGACTAACAATTATTATGAAAAAACGTCAGACAGTATTTGACAAAATCATAAATTGTGTTTGCTGACAAGGTAATCGACCATAGAACTTACGAAATGATGACTTTAAATGAGATCATTTTCGTGTCAGCATCTTGCTACTGTGACATGAGACCTCGGTTTATACGATCCCATCCGAAGGACTGGTCTTCATTACTGCAGTGGAATCGCTGGGAAGCTGATATATTTTAAAGTACAATGTAACCATTGTTAATTGTTAATACATCATCGATATTTGAATGTTAAATGAATTCTGTTTCATTATTATTCAGAATTATGAATGTACATATAATGTATCAAGAGTGTCCCAAGGAGCGCGCGTGTCACCTGCTTTGCAACTTTAGTTAAAATGAAAATAAATCTTAAGAGCGCTCAGCTATTTCTTAGCTACTAGCAATATAGTTCATGACTTTACCTTACCCAAGGACATTACGATATGATTGTTGGAAGACCTGATCTCCAAAAAACACGAATCTTTTTAATATCATCTTGGAGAGAAAGGCGTTATAAGTTTTCAGAACTGGTGCCCAATCCCTTTGTAATTATTACAATAAAATATGTTCAAATCAATCATCTTGGAGAACTTTTGTGCACAATTAGAATGTTTTAAGAAAACATGAACTTCGAATGTTCTATATATCATTTACAGAATTCATAATGTAGAGTTAAGATCCTCCCCTACAAACACAGATCTCCTGGACCCAGCTTTGACTGAGTTAAAGTTACAATACATGTATATATTAATAAAATTTCCTTTTATTACACAAAGAAAATATTTTGAGTATCTTCAATTTTAAACATACTTGTAAAATGCACAACGTATAATATTTTTCTTATTCAAGTCTATGAAAAGCTTCAATTCAAGAGAACATTAATACGTTTTACGCGTTTGTCACTTAAAAATCTGTTCTATTAAAAAAATTATCTGTCATGTCCATGATTATCACATTAGGATTGATTTTCCATTTCGTCAACTGAATCACAGTCAGAGGTGGTTTCGGATTCGTCAAGTGCATTCTGTTCAGAACTGATGGAGTCGGATTCTGAATGGATGTTGGATTCCTTGAATTCTTCAACCTCTGAAAGACTGACTCGTTGTTCAAATCGGATTTGGAAGATGAATTAGAACACGCTTTGTCGACATACTGGACAAAGTTCATTAATGTACATCCACTTCTGAAGACACATTCGGTGAAAGAAGTGACCACATGGTATTATTTTAGCCGTCGAAATCGAATACTGACAGATCGAACACACTCTATCAACGTTTTGCATTTGTTCTTCAACGGTAACTGGTAATAAATCTATCATTTTCATGACTTTTCGTCTTACTTTTAAATTTTCACACAATTTTTTAAGTCTCTCCCAATAGGGTAAAAACCCAGTTAACACAAGAGGACTAATCCAGATGAAATAACGTACTTTGAAAAAGAAAGACGTGACTGATACAAAGAAGAACACATGCCAGCACAATTGTTATATTTTGTATCGTCGACAAAATGTAAAAAACAACATCATCCATACTTTCCCACGGTCTGGAATACATGCGATCATATACATAAATGATATAAACGATAATAGAGGACAATGCTTGGACACAGGTTGACACACAGAGTGATAAAATATTGAAAGTTTCAGATATATCACTTATTTCATAAATCAAGGTCATTGAAAGCATGCAAAGTATTATTATGAAAAAGTATGTCAGAAGTCCCTGGATATGTTTAATTGGCTTTGTCCTGGCAGATCTACTAAATGATATGATAACTGCATTTGTGATACAATATGTTATGTTCAGAGAAAGTAAGACCATGAAAAGTATTACAATTTTTATTCTAAATGCTCCTAGGAATGGATTTTCTAAATTTTCGGCTGACGGCAAATATCCAGACCTTATGTACATCACAAGTATGAAAAAGCCATGATTCCAGGTCACTTTATAATTAAACTTACCATAGATATCCAAGCCATGTAAGAAAATAAGAGGAAGCATTATGAAATATTGGAATGCAGACATAAATGATTTACACATTGCAATCACTCCGAGAGGGGTAGAGCAGCATTCGCCGACACTCACGAAGAAAAGTGTAGACCAATCCATTTCATTCGACGGTGTTGCCACATTGCAAAATAAATGGTATGACAATAATATTGACCAGTAAACAAGGAATTGTTTTGATAAGCTTGTATGAGATGCGATGATATTTAAAAAGACATCCATTCCGAAGTTTTCAATTATATTACACCATTCTTTTAGCAGATCAATGGCAATGAAATGTGTGAGTTTGATGATAAGAAAGTAAAGTATTGTTTCATTTGCCATGGAATGAATAAAATTGTTGACATCATTGGAAAGATCAAAATGCCTTATGAAAAGTGGCAATTCGTAAGCCACCAAAAACACTTTAGTCCAATACTTTTCACCAAATAAATAATCGGTAAACATCCCACCGAGGAGAAGACGTCCGAAATCTTTGAAGACATCCATACTGAGTAGGTTTTTGTCCTCAAACTTTTTGAATACCGAAAACTCCACTGCACAGAAATAAGCAAAAATAACTGGAAATGCACAGAGAAAGAACGAATACACTTGTCGAATTCTCGTCGATGGGCCAATCAATAATAAAGTGACCGTGATCACAACTGAAAAAAAGTACTTCATTAGAAACAGTTATATGTATGTAATTGGTGAGGATAATTTAAAAAGAGACTTTTCTGGTATTATTAAAAAGTTATTCAATATTCAAGTCAAAAGACTTCGTAACTTGTACATGTTTTAGCTTACCTAAGATCAATACAAAAGATCTTTATCATCGAGACCATTGCAAGATTGCCATAATTAACGAGATGTGTTTGTGAAACACTAATGCTCCCAGTATGGCAGCTGATGCCTAGGGTTGAATTTTCTCAAATGCAATTTTTACAAAGTCAAGCCAAAAGGTTAAAATTATTGGTACCCAAAGGAAGGTCTTTTCAGAATAAATAGACCCGTGAAATATGATAGCCATATATCTAGCTATAACGGATCAAAAGTTTTTTTTAAAGGGGGTTGAACTCTGAAGTCGAGATCAAATTGATGGTATCCATAGGGAAGTCTTGTTACACGGAATACACCTGTGAAATATGAAAGCCCTAGCACGAACGATTCAAAAGTTATAGCCCAGGTTAAAGTTTTTTAAAAAGTGGGCCAAACTGTAAGTTCAAGGTCAAAAGGTCTAATTATTTTATACCCAATAAAAGGCCTTGTCGCTATGAATACACATGTAAAAATGAAAGCCGTAACACTTACTATTTAAAAAGTTATGGCTATGGTTAATGTTCGGAAACTTTTGGTAAAAGTGGGTCAAACTCCAAGGACAAGGTCATGAGGTAAAATTTGGTGATACCAAAAAATACATGTGTGAAATATGAAAGCTATAGCTCCAACCACTCAAAAGTTATGGTAAAGATTAAAGTTTTTTGCGAACAAAGTTATGAACATACAGACGGACGGACGGACAGGGCAAGAAATATATACCTCCGTCTTCGATTACTGTTTCATTAACTGTACCTCAAAAAATGAGATCGATTTATTACTATATCTGCGCTCCTGAAAATAATCATTTTTAAAAAAAGGATATTCATACAAATTTACACCTACCAAGAATAGTCAATCCATGCTGCAACCAGGAAGAATTCTGCCAAAATAAGCGAAACCATTATCTCGAAGACAAGGAACGAGGGTAGTCTGAGAATCAGAGTTAGTCCCGCAACTAGTTGTTCTTTATCAAATATATTTGATAACATTGTAATGGTTTCTAAAAAAAAAACTTGAGTTTGAACCATGAAGTAGTTTAATGTCAGTGGATACGTTTTTTAAAATTCTTTATGTGTATTGTACATCCGAATTAGCTCTTTGGGAATTCCCTTAATTTGAAAACGAAAGCAAATTAAAATATAAATTTTAAAAAGAAAAACTTTTAAGATCATTCTGCTAAGAATACGGGATTCTAATATCTGAATTACTTCTTTGGACTTTAGAAGATTTCATAAGAATGAAGATTTTTAAGGCCAATAGTGTCAAAGAACAATATACAGCTGTTGACTGGGGTAGAGGGAAACAATCGATCTGTTGGACCGGAGTGCAAGCTGTTGCCCAAGGCCGTATGCGTCAGGGGGCAATAGTCTGTTTTCGCAGTCTATCTTAACAGTGACTGTTCCTGAATCGACAATCGGGGAAAGCAATCGAACTGTTGGACTTTTTAAAGTAAAAAAATATACATATAGGGACTATTTAGTAGGGGTATAACAAGTCTTTTTAATATGCCTTTTCAAGTTTTATATGCAATAAAAATTTACGAGTATGTACCATTAATATTCTTTAAACTGTGTGCAATGATTATCAAATAAACCTTTTACCTGAATGATAGTATAAATTAAATGAAAGCTCCCCTTTCTCTTTAGGAGCAATGTCAGGTCAAATTTATTATCCTTTTTCTTGGACTGTAAGAATTAAAACAAATATTACTGTCAATCACTGTATGTAAATCTACTAATAAAAGGTGTAAAATTTTTCTAAAAATATATATTGAGACCGATATTTAATATCCCTAGCATATCATAACGGAAAATATTCTTCGAGTAAAAATATGTGAGGCTGAAGTTTCAAGATATGAAATTAAATAATTTTGCAGATTTGCAGAATTTTCTGCTAAATATATCCTTCCACCAAAAAGAAATAGTCCCTCATAAATTTTGTGCTTCTTTGTGAACTTTTTAGCAGTTTTTCTGTTGAATGTTGAACAATTAACATTGTTTAATTTAAATACTGTAGACGTACTTTTTTCCACGGGGTCATAATTCCGCGGAATCTCAATTTCCGTTTACTTAGTAATCCGCGGGTTGAAAATTACGCGGATTTCTCAGACTTTCACTATATTCCTTGCATTTATATTAAGTACGCTTGGACAAATTTCCGCGGAAAATTTGTGAGCGCGTACATAGCGTAAATTAATACCATGCGGAAAAAAGTACTTCTACAGTATGTCATAAAAGTTGAATTATAATAAATAGTTTTGAAGTTATATATAGGTTCTGCCTGAACTTGTCTAAAAAGCTGACGAATGACATGCCTTAAAATAGATATTGGCCGATTCTTAAGTATTTGTTTTATAAATTGTTCTTATTATCACATATACACTGTAGTAATTAAACTAATCATATACATATACATGTATAAAATTATGACCGTTCAGCAAGAGATAATTTATACTGACTTTTTGCTCACATCTGCTCTTCGATTGGAAGAAACATAAGTTAAAAAGACCGTAGTTTGTTTACAGAATCGTACTTATTTGATATAATTTTAACTTATGCTGAGCTTTATGAACTCCTCATAATTAAAAATCAATCATTTCAAAAAGATGCTTATTAATTTTTAAACTTAATTTGATGTTCTCGCCCCGAGATCATGAAACATGTTAAGCTTAAGTCAAAATCTATATTTGATGATAAAATGTAGAAATCAAGCAGACCAAAATAAAAATATTTTTCAAAATCATTTTACAAAGTAAATTCCATAATTAATAAATATTTTATAGAAAATTTGACTTATTATAAGTCTAAATTTGTTTCATGATCCTGGGGCCTGGTCCCGAGCTTCGAGATCAAGAAACATCTTAATCTTAGTCAAATCATGCACTTCTTTATGGCGCTGACATAAATTAAAAATTATTTATAGTTCAAAATGAAAATCCTTTCCAATTTTGTATCAATAATCTGCTGTGAATTTTGTGCACAGTTTTGTATTTGTAAGATTAATAAAAATCTATCACCGCTGTCTTTAACTTTTTAATTCATACATTGCTAAATTCTTACAGAAATATAAACTGCTAATAAGGGTAAAATTTTTCTAAAAATATATATTGAACCGATATTTAATAAGCATATCATAAGAAAATATTGTAAAAATATGTGAGGCTGAAGTTTCAAGATATGAAATTAAATAATTTTGCAGATTTGCAGAATTTTGTGATCTGTTTTTTAAATATATCCTTCCACCAAAAAGAAATAGTCCCTCATAAATTTTGTGTTTTTGTATTTCAAAGAAGCAGAATTCATTGAAAAACTGCAGAGAAAAAAAAAAACTAGTGGCCTTCAACACTACAATTAGATGTATCGACGATGTATAATCAATTAGCAGTAGTAACTTTTATTTATAGGTCGGCTCGACTTATCTGTGTGAATTTGAAACTAAATTTGTTTTATAAATTGACACATATACACTGAAAACTGCTATCATATAATATACTGTTTTATACTTTGATATTTATACTGACTTTTTGGATTGGGAAACGAAAAGGCGAGTTTCTAACAACGATAATTAAAAACATGGATTTCAAAAAGATGTAAATTTTTATATTTGGTGATGATAATGATCTTGTTAGCAAACCATATTAGCAATTATGTCCTATCAAAGGGTCATACTTTGGCTGACTTTTTTCATACGAATTGTTAGGCCTTTATTTTGATACTGAATTGACTACGAAATAATCATTCTACCTGATTAATGAAAATAATTTTGGACTTAATCTGCTGGAATTTTGTGTGATTTGTAAGATTAATAAAAATGCTATCACCGCTGTCTTTAACTTTTTTTCTAAACATTCTTACAGAAATATAAACTGCTGTAAGGGAGAAACTTCAAACCTAATGTAATTAACGGGCTCCTTTATTAGTCGATCTGTTTTTGTATTTCCAGAATTCTGAAAAACTCACAGAATTGAATTGTTTAAAGATTATTTTGAGGTCGATTCCCGTTATTTTCACCATTTCCTTTCTTTGTAGTCATAATGGCAATTTCTGCAGATATAACCTATCATTTGATCATATTTTAGCGAACTTAACTTAATTTATACCCGTTTATACCAATTGTTAGGCCTTTGCTTATGTTCTGAATTTGAATACGGAATATTTTGTCTGTCTGATCAATACCGAGAGTTCAGGGCTGTGAACGGTCAACATTTGATGGTTACTTCTTACCTGATTAATATAAAGGACACCTTATGGACAGGAAACATCTAAAAGTTTGTAATAGGTCCGTGTTTTATGCCATCTCCAAATTGAATTGTAAAGATTATTGAATTGTCTATAGTCGATACATTTCCTTTCTTTGTAGTTAAGATTTATGCAGATATGTATCATTTTAATTTCATCTTTTTCATATTTAAATAATTTGTTATTTCATATGATAACATCCCTATTTTTTGTACTGTTTTGTAAAACTAGTATAAAGACTAGTAAAGCGTAATTAAAATATTGGAAATTCTACTTTTTAATGAAACACGTCGTATTTTAATGTTTGCAAAAAAATATTTTACATACAATTGATATTCTGATATGGACTCTTTCATTTCAGGAAGCACACTATGAATATTAAAAGATTCTTTAAAATTTCTGGAGTATTCAATCCAAGTAACTTCTTATGATTTATTATTAGTAGGTAGCGTTAAAGCTGACCACTACAGTGTACTCATAAAACTATGCACAATCCCACAATTATATAAACCCTTCGATTTCGATACATTCAGTTGCACACTTGAAACTCGTGGCCGACGTAAAGTATCCCTTTTGTCGTTTTTTTTAAATTTATTCCTTGTTTTATGTACTTTCCTGTTTGTAATTAATTCATTGAGACTTGTATATTTGATGATACTTTTCTTGTGGCTCGGAAAAAGTGCGTAGATTTTGATAATTTCAACATGACGGAGTAATTGAACTTGGTCCTATTAAGATTTGAATACAAAATGGAAAGTACCAGGGCGATTGAATTTCTGTGACAGTTTCCTCCTTTGACAGGGTAGATAACGCTACATTACAAAGGGGACAAGTATTTTTGATGTGTAGCCATTTCTTTAAACAATTCTTGTGATACACGTGTTCACAAGGAGTGACTATAGCAGGAGACATCGACTGGTGACAGATTGGACATAGATCGTCATGGCGTTCTGCCATGTTTGCAGTTACTAAGGAATTCATCTTTTTTGCTGTATCTTTTCTGAAATTAAAGGTCTTCCATTCGTATTGTAACTGCCTCCAGATGTTATCAAAACAATGCAAAATAAGCAGCGGGGTTTGAATCCAGCTAAGTCCCTCTGTTATGATTACCCACACTCCTGTACAACCAAGAAAGACGGAACATAGAAAGTCGATCATTTTGATTGTAGTTCTAATGCAGAATAATGTGTCATCCACATTATCTAAGGGATGTACTCGACAAGTATTGAATATACACAATGTATAGGTAGCAACTGATGTCGCTGCTTGAAGACTGGTAAACACACACATTATTATCACCGGAACCATTGTTAGAAAAATATCAGACTGAAAAAGTATGTTCACCATGTACAAAGAGAAGGCAGCGATGATAATGTACACTGAAAGTATCCGAAACTGTTTGAATGGCTTTGTAGTAGGTATCGCACTAAATGATGTCATACTTGGATTTAATATTCTGTATGTTGAATTCAGGAAAATCGCTGTCACATAGAGAAGAGAGCTTCTGATGATAACGGCTCGCTGTTGTAGATCTAGATACTTCGTGGTTCCATCGCCAAATTTGATACACGTCAGAAACAATGTCAGACCCTCCGTCCAGTTAAATTTGTTGTCACTTGTTGCGGTCGAAAGAAAAAAAGTAACCAGAAACCGCATGAAATTAAAGACAAGTGAGACTGTTATGCACGTGATTAATAGTCCCAGAGGGTTATTAGTACAATCAGCTGTACAGAAGGCCAAAACATCGATCCAGTTTAACTCTGCTGACGATTGCAAGATGTATTCAGTGGACCGCTTCATTTGGAAAAGTTCCATTGAAATAGCAATGAAGACCAACTCATGCTCTGGGTATCACTGCAATTGACATAGAAATACTACATATAGTTTTGTACTTAGACGAGGGTCCTTCAATAAGTAATAAAATATACTTTTATTATAATAAATGTTAAGAATTTGATTTTATCTTTCACTTTTATAGTAAGCATGGTCACTACACTGAACTGGGAACTGTTGATACCTCCCCAAAGAAGAGGAAAATGAAAGAATGTGTGAAAACTGTGCTTCTTTAAATGAATCGCCGAGAAATCCTTTTAAAGATATGATTCTTATATTTGGAAAATATTTAACGCTGTATAGTTTTCCGATGGAAACAATAATTCAAAAGAAAAAAGGAGAGTTAAAATAAAACAGTAAAACTGGTCGATGGAAATTCGCGGGGGCATCAGAAAATGTCGATGCTGTGTGACATATGATATCTGAAAATGCTAGATTTACAGTGAAAGATATTGTTAAACACTAACTACACTCATCTGTATTTTATCATCACAACATTTTACAGAATTCTGACAAAGGAAAAAATATTTATAATGATATTTCTATCAGATGGTGCCCTTGTTTCTTACAAATGCTGTAGAAAAACACGTGTTAAATCTGACTATATCTATTAAAGGCAAATGGTTTTACAAATTAAAATGGAAGATTTGATAAACTTGCCTGATTAATGGTGAAACATGAATGCGCACTTTTTGAGCCAAAAATACGATCAATAATAGAAATGTGGATTAAATAAAAAGGTGTCATTTTATTTTGATAAAGAGATGCAAGGGCTCCAAACATGTATTATTAGTTTCCATTTATTTCAATAGGTCCAGTAAAAACATGTTCATACACCCAAAATGAAGGTAGCATTGGTAACTTTTATGTTCAAATTGCACTAAGGAAAAGTTAAACGAATTCCCTGAAAAGGAAGTCCAAATACCTGTTCTCATACAGGAATATTTTCCCATACCTGAGTGACAACCCTTCTGCAAATAAGCTTAGAGAAATAAATTATTAAGATTTTGATGAAAAGGAAATTGAACATTTTTTTACCATCCATCTTTGCTAGTGAAACATTGGGAGGTAAAGAACAGTATTCAAGATCAAAAGTCCATAAAACAATACAAAATAGGAGCAGAGCAAACACAGACCTCTAAAACTTCGGAGGTGGGATCAGGTGCCATTGAGGAGTGGGCACCCCCTGCCGACCGGTCACACCCGCCGTGTGCTCCTTGTCATGATTGAGAAATAACAGAAAAATCCGTCGTCAATTTATTGTATAAATAATGGATTAACAATTAGTATAAAAAACGTCAGTCAGCATTTGACTCAACGATAAATTGTATTTGCTGACAAGGTCATTGTATCGACCATAGACTTTACGAAATTATGACTTAAAAGCAGACAGCTGAAACTCTTGTTTCATCAATTTGTTTGCCAATAATTTCACTCGTTTTAGAAATTGTTCATCTTACGTAGAGCATGCATGCTCTTGCGTATCTAATAAACCGAGATACATAAACTCCGTATGCAGGCGATGCAGGTATATTGCTGCATAAGTAAGGGTAGTTGACGATAGAAAAGTTAAAGTCATCACGTTTATCATAGAGTTTGGTTAGATTACCCTTTACGTCTTTTTCAAGTAAAAAAGTAGTATCCAAATATAAAAGAGTTGTGTCAGGCTCTGTGGTATCTTTTATCTCAACCTCCCCAGAATATATCGTATCGACATAAGAATAGAAATTCCCAATGTTAATTGACAAATATTTACGTCGGCGATGTACATGTATCTAAATATCGAGTTGAAGGCCTCAGCAAGGTTTTGTTCTTTTCTCGCTCAAGATTTTGCACAAATTCTGTTTCATATAAATACAAAAATAGGTCTGATAATAACAGGATGCAATTGGTATCCATGGAAATTCCAATAGACTGTTGGAAGACCCGGTTTCCAAAAACAAACATATATTGTCAATCAAAAAGTCAAGCATCTTTTTGATGTCAACTTCAGAGTACTTGTGTGTACAATCAAAATGTGCTTTAACAAAATAATTTTGCATTTTTTCATCATCCATTTTCTAGGTATCAGCCATTATGGGGTATTTTTATTCCCCAAAACGCATGAAAACAACGAGAGGAAGACTGTACAATATCAAATGTATCATGGAAATTATATTCATCAGTGTTTTTGAAAAAAGCTAACCGTCTTTGCAATAATTTCAGCAACAATTTTAAACAGTAAACAGATTTACACTTAACAGGCCGTATATCTTTTGAATTTCTTGATTTTGTATTTCTAAATGATACGGGGCGTTCAATAAATAATGTCATCTGCGGCTACGCTCCATTTTTTTGCGGTCATCCGAGGAAAAGAAAAAAGCTTTCGGCAAACCTCGGCTGATTCCATTTTTCACTCTTAAAACAAGAAAGGGGAAAAGAATAAAAACAAATTGTAAAGCCTGCAAGCAATAACTATCAAATTTTATTTATAATGAAATTAAAGAGACCTTTTTATTTATTGCTATAAAAAATATCATGATTTATTAAGTGCCGATTTTGTTGTTCGTTTTGTCATTTTTTTAAGATTGGAAATGTTGCAAAATTGTTAATGAAAAATTTTTATCATCAGTAAGTTATCTCCCTTGCCTTGAACAGTATTTCATCCAATGATAATTGAAAACATCATGCAATTTCTACCAATCACAAAAGAGAGGAAGTGCATAGTCCGAAGACTGTAAAAAACTTCAACTATACAATACCGTCTTCCAAGGAAGACGGTAATTATAATCAGTGTTTTTGGGCAACGCTTAAGATACGAGGGGCGTTCAATAAATAATGTCATTGCGGCTTGGAAAGAAAAAAACCCCGCTTTTCTGTGATTTAGTCTGAATGATTTAACTAAAATATTCTCTTTTAATTAAAACACATGTCCGTAACACTTTTATTCAATTTCTAATTGTTTTTAGAACATATATTTGAGTATGGCAGATCCTATGATTTGCTGTACTTGTTTTTTTTCTGATAGAAGTTTTTCTAAGTTTGGGAAATGAAACAAGTCATAGGTTGAAAGATGTGGCAAATTTTGTTGGTGTGAAAAAACATTTGCTTTGTGTTTATCCCCAAAACTCCTTTACTCTTCATGGCCTGAGTGTTTGGACGCTGTCAAGAAGAAATTTAATGTATATCGAATTCCACATTCTGTTTTCTTCCTCTCATAAACCTTTCAATTTTTTTGCAAAAAATTTGTTTTTAGACTCCTCCAGAAATTGAACTTTCTCCCCGAAAATGAATTCGAACAACAAGACCGCTAATATTTAAGAAAATAGCATATTAAAACATAAAACTCTTTCTGTGCTCTTGCAATTCTTAGCATTTTTTAGGCCTTGACAGTTTTGTCAAGTGCATCTTATTGTAAATTTGTTTTGAGGGATTAAAGCAAAATGGAATCAAGTTTCATTATCTCTTTGAATTTCAGACAAACGTGGATAAGTACAATTTTTGATTTTTAAAAAAAAAAATAATTGTTTAGATATTCCGACAAGCTGTTGTTTTCACTCATTTTTCAAAATATAGGGTGCCCTTTGGGTATTAAACTTTTTTTACTATCAATTGTTTCTTTAAAACAGTGTGAACTACCCCCAAAATTATTTCTATCAATTTTGCTATGTGTCTTAAAGTCAGTAAAACATAATCAGTGATAATTTGTTAAATTTTCAAATATACATTGGTTGTTGTAAGTCCTTGTTGCCAAGGACGGTACCCATTTTTAATGCCCATTACATAATTTTTGTTTGCTGTAAATTTCACATATTTCAGATAATATATTTTTGGGATATTAACAAGTTTTACAGCTGCTTTAATGAAGCGTTTAATTTTACTTTAGTTTACTGATTCTTGACCATTCATTGTTAATGCAGTGTCTCGAATAGCCCTTGTTTTCCAGCTTCCCACAATGAAATAATGCGATGAAAAGTGGTTACATAAACTGTTATCAATTCATTAAAGATTCAATAATGAGAGAAAGCCAAGCTTAATGTCATATGACTTCTATGTTGTACGTCATCGAGCTAACGACATTATTTATTGAACATCCCTCGTAAATAGATCTAAACATAGTGATTAAAACAGTATATTTGCTTGTCTTAGGTCTCTTTATCTATGAAGATTAACCTCAACACACTTAAGAGGGAAAACTAGTATGAATGTGTATTCTTACGTAGTTTTCTTATTTTTAGACGAGATTTTGCTTTATTTAATGAATGACCCTACACATGCAAAGATTTAGTAATCACCTTGAAACATGACAAAGGATTAGGAACAAGAAATTGTTTCATTATTTTTCTTCTCTGAGTTGTTCAATTCAGACTATACTATGTAATAACTAAAATGAATTTTAAAAAATGAACGATGTGAGATATTAGGAAGCTTAATGCTTTTTAAGAAGAAAACCTCTCTAACATGGGATTGATTTTTCATTCTTTATGAAACTTAAATAAAGAAAAGAAAGATTATACATATTATGTTTTTATCCAAAAAAAATTGTAAATACCCAGTCAATATTTTTTTCTCACTCTCTCATTCCAAAAGCTATACTTGAATAACTCCAAATTTATAGCCCATGAAATACACGCCTCGAGGTGCTTCCAGAAAGAAAGAATGAAGAAATAACTTTTTTAAAATTAAAATATGAAGCACTCCTTTTGATAGCCTTTAGTCTTTTTAAAATCTAAATCATTATATTTGTTTATGAACAGCATTAAATTTAAGGTCTCTCCAAAACTTTTTTGTTATAAAACGTATAAAAACCAGTCGAGCTACTCAGAAACCTACCATTAAGTAAATGAAGATAATTTTCATATCTTGGTTGATAATTTCCTTCAGAAAAAAAGAGGGCGTACATTGTATAATTAAAATATTAATATCATATCATAATAATATCATAGATGCATGATACTTGCACATGTACATTATAGAATTATTGAAGATTGGAATTGATTTCGCTCGAGAACCAAACTGAAGCAAAATTTATCAAATTCAAAATTTTAATACGTCAGTGCATAAAACGAAACTGACAAAATAAATAATTTTTTGCTTGAAAAAAAAAATGAATGCCCCATGCAAGGCTCAACCAAAATCTTTTCGCTTCGAGTGCACTGAACACTGGTAGCCCAACTTACTGAGCTATCACCGCTACAAATAAACAGAAGACTTTAAAAGGACAAAGAAGCACCACATTCACACATTTGAAATTTGGGTGAAAAGTTCATTTTTCGTGGTCTCTGGGTCTTCTCACCATTTTTTTTAAAAAAATGTGTATTCGTTTCTTTGAATTAAAATACACACAATTAACGTTTGAAAATCATGGAGAGAAGACCCAGAGATAGAAAAATTTTAGAAAAACGTGCTTAAACATGTACCATTTTGTACCAAATACCTGATCTGGCCAATTTTCAAGTTATTTTTTAGCAAACCAAAGCTCAATATCGGGAAAATATTTCCCTTTCCTGTTGCACAGGAACCCGATAAATTAAAAAAATGTTAAAATTTCATGTGACATGTCGATAAAATTTTCACTTTATAATTACGCCCAGATTCCTGCCGAATGCCAAAGCGCCCTCGTTCTTTATATTTTTCTAAAATCATGTTCTCAGTGTGATGTCATTTTCAAAACATTTTATTTTTTTATTTTACTGAACGACTTATCATTTGACAGTCTTTTTTCAAAGTTGAAAGTTAAGCATATCTAGTGGAATATGGGTTTACTAGAGCCATAAAAACTGAATTTTGAACATGAATGGGTCAAGTCTCCATTTTTCGTTAACGCTTAAAGGATAGAAAGGTAAATGTGAAATCTATCTCGTTTGTCAAAAAAATGGAATCTGAACCCATTCTATATGAAAATCGATCTTTTCTGAAAAAAATTACGCTTCACCAAACCCGTTCATTTAAATCACACTGACACACATCGATAACGCATATACTTCATAGCGTAGTGGCTAACGCTGTCGGTCTTGTGCCAAGCCCTGCGCTATGGAGAGAGTTTGAATCATACGTGAAGCTTTGTATTTTTGTTTTCACATATCTTAAAAACATGAGTGAAAAAATAAATTATTAATAAAATGTTAAAATAATGAAATACAGAATTAAATGTGTAAAAGATGATATAAACCATATAATTTTAAAATATATATATATCGCTTTCATGAACTTTAAGAATTGAGAAATGTCTTTTCTCAGAGCGGGGAATTGACATCGCCTTGTACGCTTCCATTCTTTCACGAACTTTGAAAATAGAGATAAATATTGTCTAAGAACAGTTAATTGTCCCCGACTTGCATGCCCTCTTCCTCTGTTTTATAAAATGTAATGCAATTAGAAAATAAACGTACGAGCTAGTAAGAAACATTTACCTACCCTATAATTTGTAACTCCCCAGACGTCAATGATTCCTTGATAAAGTCTAATTCAAATCAATATATGCATGTATTATATAAGCTTCAATCATAGCTTCTAGGAAATTTTATTAACTGTTTATTTGAAAAAGTATGAAAAGATGTAAATAGAACGTACGTTATTGATATTTTTAGTGTATATAATTTCCCCAACAGTTACTGTATCTATTTTTAGTCCAATTCATCTTTATTTTTGGACTTTCTAAACGGAATTAGATTAAATGATAATGCCTCTTATAGACTATATCTGTATATGTGAAATATCTTTGTAAAATAATGAAATTTCATAACTCTCAATATTTTAAAAGAATCATGAATTTATTGTGTAATGAAAATCTACTTTCCTTTTCTGCGTTCACATGTATTTTATAACAAAGGTCTTGTTTTTCTAGAAGATTGCACCGAGCATTCCGTATTAGTTCATCTCCATTAGTTATCCTAGTGAATCAGTGAATGACACAATATGGGAAAAATATGGGATAGTTTGATACTCAGTGATGATTTACCTCGGGCATATGTAACCTAATCATTATTAGATATGCATTTAAGTATATATATAAGTACATGTAATCAATCTCAAAGAAGGTTTTAATATGAAATTAAAAATAAACATGGGGGAATACTTCTTTTGATAGTGAACCTGACAAGTAAAACATTCTTTTCCATTTGTATTGTTTAATTTATCATCAGCATTGTATTTACAAATATCAAACAATTATAAAAATAAATCATAACCACTTGTTATATACTAAAGTTAACTATAGTAAATACTTTGATCTAACAAATATTACAAAATACATGTACACATATTGTTATGTTTTTGTGGGGGAAATTTATAGATTTAAAACGAAGAAAATGTTAACATACCCATATAAATTTAGATTTTTCAATAATTATCATCAAGACTTATTAACAATGATTGATTTCTCATATTTGTTTAAATTCTATTTGACTTCTGCAAGCAAAACTTTTATTTTTTAATTAATTACTTGTTAAAGAATTAAATTTAAAGAATGCATACGATTCTTACTTTGTATATAAATTATTTATATAAAAAAACACAGTATTTAAAACATGTATAAAAAGTAATTACTCATACATAGTTGCATTTTCTCTTTTGAAAAGCTTTGCAATAAATACGTATACAATGTTTAAAAGATTCAATGATAATTAAGCTGATGTATTAGGATTGACGTACATTTGAGAATTTTCGTAGACAATGTGGACACGAATGTCCAACATACATCCATTTTTTGAGACATGTCGGGTGAAAAAAATGTCCACAGTTAGTTATTTTCGCATATGACATCGGACAAAGGCATATAGAACACAAATCATCGTGGTTACGAATCTGTTCTTCTGTCGCAGTTTGAAGGGCATCTACCAACCTCACGGCCTTTCTCCTCAACAAGAAGTTTTTCCAGCCATTTTGAAATCTCTCCCATAAGGAATAGCAATGTAAAACAAAAAATGGATATTGGATCCAGCTAAGTCCACCTGACTTAATTAACCATATTCCACTGCAAGCCAAAATAACTGACCCTGCAAAATCTAGAAAACGCACAGTGGACCTTACGTAATAAACTATGTCATCTAAGTGTTCTAAAGGATGAGCATGAAGCCCGTCATACACAAACAATAAATAGATCATGATTGAAGCTGTCGCTTGGATTCCGTTGGACAGGCTTATAATAATTGCTGGTAAAGTCAGGAAAATATCAACAACTTGCCAAACGATGTTAAGTATGTATGAGAAGGAAACTATAATAAAGATATAAAACATGAGACTTTGAATGTGTTTAGACACTTTTGTTGTTGATATTGCACTAAGTGATAATAGAGCAGGATCAGCAAATTCATACGCCAAATTGAGAAAATTTGATGCCATATAAATTGAGATAATTTCAATCAGAAAGCCTTTTTTGAGCATAGTTTGCAAAGAATTTGATGGCATTAAAATTCCAAATGCCACTGACAGCATAAATGTAAGGATACCTATCGACCAACCGGGAGAATTATCGGCATCCGTGGCTTGCTCCTTCCAACCATGAACGTAAAAGTGAAGTACATTAAACAGAAAATTGACAATGTATGAAATAGAAACGCACATCGAAACAAGTCCTAAATACGTTTTGCAACATTCTCCAGCACAAATTGCAAAAAAAGACGACCAATCCATTTTTGATATAGACAAAACATGGGCATTAGTGGTATGTGTTGTAAAGTAATAAATCATGGACCCAAAATACGTCACCCAGAATAACAAAAGTTGTTGTGTTAAAAGTCTGGATTCAGATATCGACCTTGCAACAGGAAGGAAACCGAAAATGTTGACTAAAGATGTCCAAGTTTTAATCCCTGTCTCCATTCCTTTGATTGCAATTATGAAACCATCCTTCATTCTGCAAATCAGATACAAACAATAAATGCCACTGGTCAGGAAAAGCAAACATTGGTTTACCGTGAAAGGAAGATCAAATATTTTTGTCAGCATTGGTACGACATGTCCCATAAAAAATAAGTTGTTCTTTGAGCCTCCGTTGCATAAATATCCAAATAATTGAGCTGCTATTCCAAGGAGAAAAGAATTAATGATCAAGTCAGTATATCCAATGCTTGCGTCACATTCAATAACCTTTTGGGTTTGAAAATGAATTAAAACCAGTACAAACACACTAGCTAGGAACTTGTAAATCTGGAAAATGTAGAACTTTGGAAGAAATACTATCACCGTTGATGCAACTGGTACTGAAAAAGTAAGATAAATTATTGTTGGTGAAACAAGATTCATACAGACACTTATATGGCATCCTATATATCTTTATTAAAACTATTCATTTAAATTTAAAAAAGATACACATACATTATCAAAAATTTTAGTTTTAAAAAACGTTAATTAAAGTTTATTGTACTGATAATGGAATGAGTGCTATACCTACCTGATAGGTCGACGATGCTTTGATACAGAGAAGAATGTTCGGTGCTTGTCAGACGCCAAAACTCAAAGAGAAACAGAGCTGGCAATTTCAGGACTACAACCAGTCCCTCAACAAGGTGATCTCTAGTATTAGTGCCTTCCAACGACATTGCTTATGAGTTAAGGTAGTCCGATCCTCAGGTTTATAAAATTAGCAGTTAAGTAATCAAAAATACTCATAAAAGTATCTCTGAATCCACAAAGTTATGTAAATTTATCCACAGTATTTCCTTAAAGTTAATGATAAAAGTTAATCATATTATATAGGGAAAATTATCAAATCTCCAATATTTTTGCAGAAAAAGCGAACTGGAATATGAGCAATGCATTTTCTCATTGCAAATTGATCAACAAATATATTTTAGGTTAAAAAATGACAGGTATCCAGGCATTCAGAGAAATTGTTATGATTTTTATACTTATTTGGTATTTTTTGTCTTTTTTTCCGTCATGTATTCTATAATACATAGTGCAAAAGGCTTTTGTTATCATTGCAAGACATCACAAATCACTTCTCATTTTATATAATGCTAATAAACATTGATATCTATGGCTGGATTCAAGAAAATCTCATTTCTCCAAAACTGTATTTTTTTTCTCCTTTTATAGGGTACAAATATCAACTTTTATATGACCTTTTCTAAAACTTCCAAAGAGCTCTAATCTTATAAAGATAAATAAAATGAAAATTGTTGCATGAAAAAAATTAAATTTTAAGCTTCATTTTGATGCATTTCAATTTAAATATCAATTTTTGGAGTTATCTTTCCTGGCTGAGGATCGGATATCCTTAATGAGTTAATATTCGTCACCTTATACAGTGTATGTGCTGTTCTTGAAATAGGTCCAACTAAGCGGGTTTTGTAATTTTTATAGATATATAAAAAAAACATTTAAATGGTGTTCTTTGCAAAAACTGGTGTCGAATTTCTATAAACTGAAAGCGAAAGTTAAGTGAACAAGAAAAATTTCTTTCAGCATTGAGTACATTTATGTCAAATACAACTCAGTTAGTGTGTTTCAAGGATCGCATCTAGCATAATTAAAAGATGTAAATAACTCTAAGTGTGGTAAGATATTGATTTGTTATTGTATTAAAGTTCATGTACAGGGTGTCCCAAAATATATGAAACCATTTCATGAATATATAAAATAAAATGTAATGAATATTGATTCACAACAAATGCACTATAAACATTGCATATACTGTCCAATTTTATTCACAAAAATTTTATGGACAATGAAAGGAACAAGACAAAATGAGTTCACTTTGAAAAATGTTATTGTTTTTAACAAATGTCCTCTAAATGACATCCAATTTGGGTAATGATCATGTAAAAAATTGCACAAAATTCCATAACTTAAAATAACAATGCGCTTTTCTTTAGTTATAATCTAGATTTTCATGGATATATGCCTTGTTAGATAAATTAAAGATTTAGATTGATGTTTAGGAACAATATCATAAGACTGGATTTGATAATTACAGTTTTGAAATGAGGGTAGCCAGCTTATTTGATAAATCAATTTCGCTTCAAATGCAATTTTTAGCATTTTTTGACGTAATTGAGTGGCTACATTACTCCAACTATGTGAAAATTTTTAACTGAAATTATTTGTTGCTAAATATTGTATTTACTCAAATACTAGTATTTCATGAGACAAATTTCATAGAAATTGGTCAACACCTGCGTTTCTGACAATAATTAAAAATGGTATCATATATTATGGGACACCCTGTACAGTATTACATGTATATAACAGTCAGGTTTATCGTTTCAGACCTCTTAATTCCTAGCAGAAAGTCTAGTCCATGGAAGGATGTCCTGTCTTTTCTAAAACATATCTCTTTAAACAGTCAGGGGCATAACTCAAACAAGTTATTTTCAAAAATAACTCAAATGAGTTATTTTACATTATTTCACACACAAAATTTTTTTTTGAAAAATAACTTAAATAAGTTATTTTTATATCCTACTTGGACATTGATTTCTTGGAAATTTCATGTTTCCTGCCATTTTGCATTGCATTTTGGGATTCCATTATGTCATACTAGTTGGAGTTCACCGACTCCAATGGAGAATTGGTGAGAAGGTGGAGATAAACAGCATTTTACTCCTTATTTTGTGGTTTTATCCACATGGTGTATATGTCCAATTTTAATCATTAAATAAAAAAAATCCCCACTTTTCCCAAGACTTTGAAAACTTTTTCTGCATTGAGCAAGGTTTATATTTAGTCAAACATTTGTTTTTGTCTTGGTGCACGAGCAAAATCCTTTGGTGCACGGGGTGTGAAGTTAGGGAGAAATAACACAAAATAAATAAGTTATTTATTTATTGAAGCTATTTTGGAAAAATAACGTGTTTGAGTTATTAAGGTTGGGAAAAAGTAGGACATAGCAAAGAGAAGTAACTCATTGAGACAAAAAAATAACTCATTGAGTTATTTTTGAAAATAACTTGTTTAAGTTATGCCCCTGACTGTTAAACGATTCCATAACTATTTTTCCAAGTATTTTAGCTAAATCCTCTTGACTTGAAAGTGTGTGATCTTTCATATAAACAAATTTGAAATCACATTATCAAAGAATATATATTATATGGCAAGTTTGGTTGAAATTGGTCTGAGAATGTAATGGAGAAAAGAATGACATACCCGGTATAGGAAAAAATATGACAATGTTTACTTGAGCCTTTGTACCATATAAGGTGTAAATAATAATAATAATAATAATAATTAATTTTATTTGACACACAGAGCCTTTGTACCATATAAGGTAAATAAAAAAAAAAAATAATTAATTTCATTTGACATACAGTTTTATTTATTCACAAACCGATGAAAAAATAAATTGATTTTGACTAGAAGCACAATAAACCATATCAAATTGTTACATATACTCAAACATTGGAAACATTGAAAACTCTTGAATACCAATGATAATATTCAACAAAAAATATCCTTTATAATGTACATTCCCCTTTTAACAACATACAAAGGAAACTTGCCATGAACAACCTTTTTAATAATAAGATAATGTGGAGAATTGAATTCAAATGATATATTGACAGGACATTAGTTTATATGGAAATAACAGGAAAACCTAAGGATTTGCAGGGGATGGATATACAGTATGTACATGTATATACTTTGGCTTTATTTTTGGTCATGTATGTAAACAAAATCAATTCTCTAGAATACTACAAAAAAAAAAAAAAATGCAAATTTCCACTCTAAAATAAAAAAAAAAATTAGCTTGGGTTGCTACTTGAAAGGAAACTGGGGAAAATATTGAAGAAACATAGGTAATCAGAGATTACAGAGCTCACCTCAACGAATGTTGTCTTTAAGTAAGGCAAAGTCACACAATTAACCAACAAAAAGTGTACATTCCAAAAATGAAAATATTTAAGCAATTTTGATCTGATACTTTGAAATAGACCTACATAAAAAATTTAAACTAGTTCTTCTTCATGAAAATGTAATCAAAATCCAGCATCTGAAGCAAATTTGAGAGTTTTCATCTCTTGATGCAACATTTGTGCAAGTTTGGTTTATACAATGTTATATAAGCCTTATAGTTTTTTGGTAATAGACCTGCACCCATAACTTTTACCTTTCTATTAACTAAAAATGTATGTTATTTAAAGCATCCAAAGCAAGTCCATTAGTGTGCATCCTAAGATGTATCGTCCATGCAAGTTTGGTCAATATAGAGCTTATAGTTACTTGGAAATGAAACCTACACCAAAAACTTTAACCTGTTCACTCAACCAGAAAATGTTGGTCAGATTCAGCATCCAAAGCAAGCCTGGTAGTATGCATCCTTAGATGTATCATCCATGCAAGTTTGGTCAACATAGGGCTTATAGTTACTTGGAAATGAATCACTCACGAAAAACTTTAACCTATTCACTCAACCAGAAAATGTAGGTCAGATTCAGCATCCGAAGCAAGCCTGGTAGTATGCATCCTTAGATGTATCATCCATGCAAGTTTGGTCAACATAGGGCTTATAGTTACTTGGAAATGAAACCTGCACCAAAAACTTTGACCTGTTCACTCAACCGGAAAATGTAGGTCAGATTCAGCATCCAGTATGCATCCTTAGATGTATCATCCATGCAAGTTTGGTCAACATAGGGCTTATAGTTACATGGAAATGAAACCTGCACCAAAAACTTTAACCTGTTCACTCAACCAGAAAATGTAGGTCAGATTCAGCATCCGAAGCAAGCCTGGTAGTATGCATCCTTATATGTATCATCCATGCAAGTTTGGTCAATATAGAGCTTATAGTTACTTGGAAATGTAACCTACACCAAAAACTTTAACCTGTTCACTCAACTGGAAAATGATGGTCAGATTCAGCATCTGAAGCAAGCCCAGTAGTATGCATCCTTAGATGTACCATTCATACAAGTTTGGTCAACATAGGGCTTATAGTTACTTGGAAATGAAACCTGCACCAAAAACTTTAACCTGTTCACTCAACCGGAAAATGTAGGTCAGATTCAGCATCCGAAGCAAGCCTGTTAGTATGCATCCTTAGATGTACCATCCATGCAAGTTTGGTCAACATAGGGCTTATAGTTACTTGGAAATGAAACCTCCACCAAAAACTGCACCAAAAATGTTAACCTGCACCAAAAACTTTAACCTGGTCATTCCTTCGCTGAAATTGCAGCATCTGAAACTTTGACTGGTACAATGAAACACACTAGAACCATCTTCCATGCATGTCTTATCAATATAGGACATAGAAGTACTTAAAAAGAAAACTGCTCCAAAAAACTTAACCTGGGACGCCGACATGACACCGAAGCCGAGGGAAATAAGCTCCCCCAACTTCGTTGAGGTGAGCTAAAAATTATATTGTATGCTGGCAAAATAATGTTGCTATAAACTTATTTCTTTGACTTTCTTTCTGACAACAATGTTTTTTTTTATGATTTTGAAAAAGAGTTTCTTTTTAGCATGTCCTTAAAATACATACATCTTGGACACAACCATGTGTTCTTGAACACTGATCTTAATTTGAATACCTGAATAAGGGATTTTAATTTTTTTTCCCTAACATTTGATTTATCAGTACTAACTTACATGCATAAAGCTATTTCCAAATTTTCTTGAAAAAATAGAGAAGGATAAATTTTAATCCTCACTTTTAATATTTACACCTGTTAGTTATTTAAATTATCAATATGAAACTTTTAATTCAAAATGTCATTTCAGCAAAGTTTTTCATTAATTTCTTTAATAACAAAATTTGCAGAGAATGTTACAAGTACTGAGATCTGAAAATAATAATGTGTTACTCTATATTAGCATTATATCTGTTGACTTCTTCATTATGGTATATCTTAGATATAATATAATAATAAATCATTCAAGTTGTAACACAAAGGTTTCTTTCAAACACATATGTATGCTGTTATCATAAATCACTAACATTGCAAATACTGAAGTAATGATATCACCATAATTTTCATTCTTTTTAATTTCACATGGCTTCAGCTCAGAGTAGAACAAGATCTGTTAAACCTCATCCAGAGAAGACTATACTGAGTCTCCAGAACTGTCATCTGAGAGTTCTAAATCTTCCTCACTCTGAATAGATAGTTCTGATTCTGCTTCCGAGTTTTCCTCTTCATTTTCTGTGGGATTAACATCATTTTGAGCAGGTCTCTCCTCATATGAATTCTGGGATTCCTCTACGGTTTCATGCAGCTTTTTGTGACACATAGGGCATGTGTCTTTTACATAAAGCCATTTTTTGAGGCAAGTTGCATGGAAGAAGTGTCCACAGGGAGTGATTTTTGCAGACGAGAGAGCCTGGTAACAAATTGGGCAGACGTCATTGTATTCCTCTAGCTGCTGGGGAGAGGCTGATGGAAGGGATTCCAATTTCTTGACGGCTTCTCTCCTCAACAGAAAAGTCTTCCATCCACTCTGGAGTCTCTGCCACACATTGAAATAACAGTGAATAATTAAAATGGAGGAATTTATCCAACTCCATTCACCAAAGATGGATTCCTTCATTCCATAACACACTACAAACACTGCAACAATGAACTCCAGAATCCTCACAAAAGATCGAGTGTAATACACAATATCATCCAGTGAATCCCACGGCTCAGTTCTGAGTCCATCATACATAAATAAAGAATAAATCACTAACGATCCAACAACTTGCACTGATGTTAATAGGCAGCTGGACATGATGACCAGAAGCCAGAAATCCAGGTCAAAGTATTGGCATATGGAGTATGTCATGTAAAGGGGAAACAACCACAGGAATGTAAAAAGAAGTATTGCTCGGACATGTTTGAATACATTTTTATTGTGTGAAGCACTCAGAGCAAGCAGAATTGGGTCTGCCATCTCATACATAGACTGGATGAGTGAAGATGCCACAATGAAGAGCAATACACACATGAGGAATGCCCTCTGAAGAGGTTTAAGGTCCAATAGACCGGTCTGTACAGCTATTAACATCATTGTAAAACCCTCTGTCCATCCCCTCATCACATCATGGTCAGCAGTAAATGCTGTCCATCCCTGGAGGTACAGTTTAGTGAGGGTCAGGATGTAGTATGATGCATAAGCTATAGTGATACAGAGAGCTATAAGGCTGATGGGTGTAGCACAACACTCCCCCACACAAGCCAGAATAAATAGAAGCCAGCCCTCTTGTGACAGGCTTATTGGTGTCTTAATCATGTACACATAAAGCTGGGTACAGAAGAGGACAATCCAGAAGACAAGGAACTGAATGGGTAGGAGGATGGTGTGCCAGGCTGTGAACAGAAGGGAGATCCAGCCTATAGTGTCTGCCAACGCCTTCCACCGAATCAAGTTTTCTTTGACTATATCTAGCACAAATCCAATGTTGTTGAATAAAAATAACATAATTAAAATCACAGTAAATAAGGAACAGAAGTGATGTATGTGTTCCAGGGCAGCGAGTGGGATGCCTGCTATCCTGGCTATCATAGGAAGGGTGTACACGAGGAGGACAAACCGTTTCCAGGAAGTGATGTCAATCAGATACGCAATGAGGGCTGCCATCACACACTGAGCGGTTAAATGAAGACCTAATCGTTTGAGAGCTGCACTGTCACTAAAAATGTAAGTCTCTGGTTCATCTACCTCCATTTCCACAAAAATCTGTGCAAGGTGATGAGCCATAAGAAGCAGGACTAGGCTCACAATGTACATATAAAGAGACACTAACTTCCTGAGGGGCATCAATAAAACTGCTACAGCAAAGGCCAAAACTGAAAAGGAGATGAGACATATTTACCATAAAGTACCATGGGCAATGAAAAATAACAGACTCAAGAGACTACACTGTTATCTATCAAAAGATTTTTCCTGGCTATAAAAACCTTAGCCCCACTAGAAACAGGAAAAATCAGGCTTTGTGTAAAAGAAAAAATTCAATTTCAATGAATGAGCAACTCTGCTTCTCCCTAAGCCCAAGATGATTTCTGAAGTAACAAATGAAAAAATCTATAAAGTTTCAGATAAAAAAATGCATTCTTTACAAGGATGGGCGGTTCTTTTTAGGGATTCACTGATATCTGACAAATATTATGTTGAGGAAGTTAAGATTTTTTTATTTAGACTTGTCAGGTGATGTCGGAGTCACATGACTTTAGCAAATTTACTTGCTAATGCAGTATTGAGGTCATCTAAATATGCTAAAAATTCAAATATTGCAAGGGCATAACCAACATGACCAAGTAAATAATCTAGTTTTAATTCATAATTCTTTACAACACTACATGTATTCCATGAAAAGTGCTGCTAACCTATATAGATTCTACTATTTATTGCTATAATTACATGTCTACACTCATTTTCAACATTGACTTAAATTATTCTTACTAGCCAATGGATAATACTGATTTTATAAAACTTACTTGAGTAGTAGACCATCGTTGTGATGAATTCAGCATGGCCAGGGTCTACTGAGCGTGCATCTATGGCTCGCTGAGGATCTGTTCTGAACCACACCTCCATTATAAATAGGGAAGGTACCCTCAGAATCACACACACTGAAGCAAGCAGGTACTCCCTCTTTAATTTAAAGGGACCCATTTTTCTAGAAAACAGAAATATATTTCTTAAATTTAAAGAAATGTTAACAAATACCTGAATGCATATCTGATGTCTGAAAAAATGATGAGCTTCCATAAATTTTCATAACAATGAGCAACAGATCCAAAGCCAAGTGCAATGCAAGTCTTTCGAATGAGGCCATTAGGTAAGCAAATTCATCTATAACACTGGGACAAAACTTTTCACCAAACATGCCAAAGAAACATACTCGACATATAAATGGTTTACAACAAGACAGTGTGTCCTATGCATCTCCTTAAACTGGGTTTGAATGTCCAAATTGATTTTATTTGACAGGTTGCATGTTAACAATTTATATAAAAGTTTCTTGTGATCAATATTGTGAAGAAATTCAAAGGACATGTACAAATGGATGTTATTATATCAATGAACTTTGCTACAATACATGTAAAATTAGAAAATTGCTCATAAGGCGCTAACAGGTGTCACTCAATTTGTTTGCACACACCTTTGCAGTTATGAGACTATATCTATCAAAAAGTAATGAGTCATTGCTTAAATAAATATTGCGCTTCATCTTGTAACTGGAAATGAGAAAAATATACCAGCTCTGACAAGATTTGATTCTAGATAAGAATGTGTTATTTTGTAATGCTAGTATATAATTATTTTTTTCTTATTGTGTGATATGTATCATGTATGATGTCTGGATAAGGCCATTTGCTAAAGCTCAATAGCATGTTCAGAAAAACACGCTGACCTGCTAATTACACACAACACGCTTACATGAGTTTGGACAACATGCTGACACACTAACACACTTTCAAGCAACACACCATTGTGTTAACACACAACATGCCGTTGCGAGTTGTGTGTTAGTGCTACAGTGTGTTGTGCAATCTTGTGTTAGCATGACAGCGTGTTGTGTGTGAGCGCGACAGCATGCTGTCTGAACTTGTTTTAGCGAGACAGCATGTTGTTCAATGTTGTGATAGCACGATGATGAGTTGTGTGTTGGTGTGATGGCATGGTGTGTGTTAGCACAATGGCATGTTTTTCTGAAAGCCCTATTGAGCTTTAGCAAATGGCCCAATCTGGTCAGGTCCAGTCCAAAGACTATTTCTACCTACGTAGCTATTAATAGCTACCTAGGTATTTAAAGCTACCCAGAGTAGCTATTTTTACCTACTTTATATAATTTCTGCATTTTGCGACCAAAAGACCAAACGGCGCAATTTGGTGAATACCATATTTTTTGATACGGTCACACTAATCATGAAAACGACAAAATTTTGGCCAAAAAATGATTACTTCCTAAATCGGCAATTTTACATTAGTTTCTATGCAAAATTGATAATATACGAAGTTTTCATTTTTTCGCCAAATTTTTGTCATATTTATCATCAGTGTGACTGTATCAAGAAATTTTGTGCTCACCATGTTGCGCCGTTCCTGCATTTGGCCACAAAATGCAAGTACAGCAGAAAGTAGGTAAAAATAGCTACTTTGGGTAGCTTTAAATACCTAGGTAGCTATTAATACCTACGTAGGTAGAAATAGTCTTTAGACTGGACCTGCTGGTCACCATAATCATGATATGGTGACCAGATTGGGCCATTTGATATGGAGACTAAATGAAGATTCTAAATAGAATTCTACAAAGTTTAACAACCTTACATACACTATCGTCATTCCCAAATCTTATGTCTGCAAGAATTTTGGTTTTTCATGTAAACATAACAAAATGAAAATAAATTTAATCATACGAAATATGGTAGTTCACTAGTTGTATAATTTTGTCTGTAATAGAGTACTTAATGATACAAAGTCTAGTTATGTGGCGGAGCAGTTTTCTTACTATATGACAACCTGTAAAGAATATTTGGGTTTTTTTTCTAATAATAACACTTATTCCTATGCTAGTTACCTGTTGAATTCTATTTGTGTATACGTCACGTTTGATCAACTTTCTCTTTAAACCGGAAATGAATATCCCTGTAAGAAACAAAACGAAAAGATAGACAATGCTGAATTTTATAATTAATACCAGAAAATCTTGATTAAACTACAATTTTATGGAATATTTAAAAAATTATAACTTTTTAAAATTTCATGTTTAGGCGATAAAAGCAAGATACGTATTTCGTTTTGGCAAATTTGATTAGGGTTAAAAGGAAACCCGAAAGCCGGAAAGGAAACAAACGTCATGAAAATATTCGTTACAGCATTTACGTAATAACTTGTGATTTAAGATCCAGAGACCACATCAGAAGATGACATGGAGAGAGCGGATAGAAGCCATGTGGGAGCTGATAGTCAGACTGCCTCCATTATATGTCATGGACAGCATTCTTAACAAGTCCTTCTTTCCAGAATTTTCTCTGTTTCAGTACCAACCATCAATGTCATGGGCTGAGTATTTTTTGTGGATACTTATAATGACTTTGTGTTAGTATATTTTGAGTATTTTTATTTTTCAATAAAATTATTTAACTGTACAAGGTATGTCATATAAAACTGTCATATACAACTGGAATCATGTTCCTCTTCTCTTTCAAATGGCACAAAGCTGACCCTGTTGCTATGTTTGCTTCAAAGAAGTGGACAGGTATCAGTTCTGAACTTTTCAAATGATAATTATATTGTGGTTTTGTACTATGTGAATTAATATACCATTTTTATTAGTGCTGGGTATCGCGACGGAAAAATCGTATCGTGATATATTGCAATATTATATTTTGTATTGCAATATATCACCATACATGTTAACCTATTGTGATGAAAAATAGGGAGATTCAGACCTCAAAAGCGGTAGCATTGCGCGCGTGTTGTTTAACGCTTGGATTATCGATATCTTTCATGTAATATACATGTATATTATAAGCCTTAAATGAAATCAGGTACCTACACTAATTAATCTTAAATATCAACAGCAAAGAAGAAGACAGAAACACCATAAGTTTGACATAAATTGTACACATTCAAAAATTTTTCATGCTCATCATTTTGCTTGGATTGGCTGCTTTACTTAGCCTTTTGAAGAGTGATCTTTGCTGATATAGCCTAGAAGCAATAATTCTGAATGTTCATTCAGTTTTTAAACAAAACAAATGATGACATGGTTTAATCTAGATCTAAAACAAGTTCCTATCTTTCGTTATATAAATCAGATTTCCCGCGATGATCGAAAACGAAAGTAGAGATATGCCACATGGCTTGGTCAATCGAGTGATTTCCATTGACTTTATTGATAAAGTTGTGAGCTTCTGTGCTTTTAAAGACTATGCCAAATGTTTTTATCTAATTCTTAAAAGCTGTATCTTCTTTTTTCATGGCAGGGATGTTGATTAATTTATCGTAACCAATGTAATCACTGGTAGTCTTGTGTTGTTGTCGTTGTCAAATCCGTGCTTGAAATCTATGTCCAAAAAAGCGTTTGTATGATTCCGAGACAAATCACGCGATATCTAGCGAGATTTTATGAGAGTGGCTTCAAAAATGGATACCCAAGCGAACCAAAAATACTTTAGACGCAGCTTTTGTAGAAAAGCGGTAGATTTCTGAATTAAATCGGTAGGCGGGAGATGGAGTGAAAAAGCGGTAGACTCCCGCCTAAATCGGGAGAGTTAACATGTATGATATCACGATATAAATATTTAATAATTTTTTGCTTTTCGTCAGGGTTAAATGAAAACACAAACTCAAATTACATGTATTCTCGAGTTGATATTCCAATTGCCAGATCGCGTTATTTTGGAGCAAGCGGCAAGATAAGTTTTTTTTGTGGGAAAACTTGTTGAATTTAATTAAGTTGTAATACTCTGATTCAGCTTTAACATGAAGGGGTTTCATATAACAGTTGTCGTCGTTTCGTTTTTGAAAGATACATGTCTCTGGTTTCTGATCACACTTCACGTCGCTTGCCGCCATATTTTACCTTGAAAAGCGCAAATAACTCTTTTTGTAACAATTTATAGCATATCGAACCCGAACCGGTATTCACAAAAAAATACCGCGATACGTATTGTTAAGAATGAAATCTGGATACACCAGTTAACCGGTAATATCGCAAAGCACTAATTTTTATCCTATCACACTGTGAAAAAGAGTTCCTATATTAAAAACATACGTGAAAAAACTGTAGGAAAAAATGCATTGCCAAGTTGAAATATAGTCCAAAATATCTGACATTTTCCAGACTTTATTTTGATTAAGATATTTTACGTGCCAGGAAATTGTCAGACGCGGCGTCAGTACAAAACTGGGAATTTGCTGTCTCCAACCTGAGGCTGCATTTTAAGATTAATTTTAGATCCTTGCGAAAAGAATTTAATTTCAAACTCACAAGTTATGAATAGTACAATACTTTTAGTACATACCATCATTGTTTTTTATGGTTTATTTATAAATTATTCAATAGGATGACAACATTATATCAGACTGTTGAGATTTATTTAGTTTTCATTTTGTGCTTTTTAAAATCTTGCAAGTCCTGTATAGGAATGATATTGGTGAGAACTAGAAACATTATTCTAGGCCTCGATCTTGATAAATTCTGATTTCAGCATCTAGTTCAGTTCGCAAGTATTGAAAATTAACTCTGGTTGGAAACAGCAAAATTTCCAGTTTTTGTATGATGATGGTTCTGAACTTTTCCTGGCATAAATATCAAAATCATATAAAAGCCTGGAAAATGTAAGATATTTTGGCGGAAATATTACAATACAAATCATGAATATAGTTCCAGATCATGATGTACTCAAGCTGTTTAGACTAATTTTAGTCTGTAAGAGAATATGTTTTATTCGTTTGAAGAAAATGTTTTGTGGTTAAATTAATATAGAATTAAAGAGGACATATAATTGGCATTAATATTATGAGAAATATCGTATTCTGAGTTCATTTATGCTGAAGAAATCTCATGAATGAGATTCGGGTTGTCTGGATGTGTAGACAGATGCCGTGGTCAGTGAAGGATCCCGTCCAAATACCCTATATCCTGGCCAGAGGAGCTTAATCTCAGCTCAGATAAGCCAAAGCATAATGTGGATTATATCTTTAAGATTTGATAAATAATCATATACATTAAATAATTTAGTCAATGTTTTATTTTTTAAATGGCCTAGTTTAAAATATGTATAGCATTTCATTGAAGAAAAAAATTTTCAGATAATATTACAGTGTACTCAAACTGTTACAGTAAAACTATTTTATAACAAAGTCACTGGGACCATTGAAATTACTTTGCTATATCTGTAATTTGTTATATATCATATGTACAACGAATTCTTTAAATTTTTATAGCTGGGGATCCAAGATAATTTCACTTTACCCGTGAATTTGCAATATCCGTGTTTGTACTACATGTAAATGAGTTTTACTGTACCCTATAAGGTCATTGATAAAACAAGGATTCTGGACAAAAAAGTGAAAATTTTCATGGCAAAATTGATCTCAGTGGTGGTGCAGTTTAATATTAATGTCATTTAACATGTTTAAAGGTGTATATATTAGCCATAGGAAATTTATTTTTGTTATGACAAAGTGAATTAGAAATTTTCTTGGTACTTTGTAAACATGTAATTTAGTAGGAGTGTCATTTTTGAGATCGAGTGACCTATTTTCTCATAGTTACAATGTTTGTCCTACATGTATTGTGTTAAATAGAGATTGACTGACCTTTTTTTCTCTGTTACAGTGTTTGTCCTGGCCCTCTGTGTCTTTTTGCTGACCACTGGCCAGTTACAGGACATCTACAGCTTGGTCACTCTTCTCAGCCTGCTCTACATGTCCTACCAGTGGAACCAGAACTTTCCTGTACCACTGGACATCAAGCATTCCTCGGATGTCAAACATAACTATTATGACATCATGCAGAATGCAGTCACACAGATTTTCTTGTCCTACACATTCACTTATATATGGACCCTAAGGAAAAGAACTTTACCTAGAAATGGAATCAGGGCACTTATTTCACTGGGAATTATGTCATCCTTTATGTTTCCTTCCATTGTGTGTGTAGTGTCTCAGGATATTGGGTATTTATATTGGGTGACTCTGATATCCATAGTGATTCCGTCTAGCGTTCTATTCGCAGAAGTATGGATCTGTGTCAGAGCTGTAGTTTGGACACTAAGACGGATATACAATGTGATAAAGATAACCATTAGTGCTATTGGAATTCAAGGATTTGTTGAACATCACTGGATCAGACTAAGGGTACCAAAAGTGCTACGATTATTTTGGATATCTAGACTATTTTATCATTTCACCATGTTGTGTCTTGAAGAGCTGTACCAAAGAGAAGCTACACTGATCTCTGTACACTCTTTAGACTATCAGTCGATCATTATCAAATTATTCACACAGAGCTGTGAGAACTTTGTCGCCATGCTGGGCATGACGAGTATAGTGTCATTCTTGGCGCATCACGTGGGCGTTTTCTTGGCATTCTGTGTAGGATCTGACTCGGAGGAGGATCGTAATATGGGGACGGTGTCTGCGATTCTGTTCTTTATTCTGGGCCTTCAAACAGGGCTGACTGGACTTACACCAGACATTAGACTAGCAAGACTCTGTAAAAACTTCTGTCTGCTTCTTACTGCCATCTCTCATTTCATTCACAGCATGATTCACCCAATTCTGATGTCCCTCAGTGCGTCACAGAGCAGTCATGTGGTGCGACATTTGCGGGTGCTATCAATGTGTATATTTCTGTTGACATTTCCCACATGTTTACTTATGTATTTATGGAGTCACTATAGTGTTAGTACGTGGTTGTTGGCTGTGACTGCATTTAGTGTGGAAGTGATGTTAAAAGTGATTGTATCATTAACAGTGTATGCCTTATTTCTTTTAGATGCCTACAGAAACACTTTCTGGGAGGGTTTAGATGACTATGTGTATTATATACAATCAGCAGGAAATACTATAGAGTTTTTATTTGGAATATTTCTGTTTTGCAATGGGGCCTGGATTATGGTCTTTGAATCGGGGGGAGCGATACGTGCTATTATGATGTGTATACATGCTTACTGTAATATATGGGTTCAAGCAAAGAATGGATGGCAAGTTTTTACCAAACGCCGAACTGCAGTTAACAAAATTAACTCTCTGCCACTGGCTTCTAAATCGGAGCTGGAGACTTTAAATGATGTGTGTGCTATTTGCTATCATGAATTAAACAATGCTAGAATAACACGATGTAACCATTACTTTCATGGTGTATGTCTTAGGAAATGGCTTTATGTTCAGGATAACTGTCCACTCTGTCACAAACTTATTTATGCTCCAGACAGTGTCACAAGTGAGACTCAAGAAAACAATAATCAGGAGGATGATTTTGAAGAGTTGGATCCTGGGGTTGCGGCACCAAATGGCTTCCAGGATGGCTTCCAGCAGCCATTGAACCCAGTGTTGATAGGAAGACAGGATGTTGGTAGACAGCTGAATAATGGAACTTTCCAGCCAGCTAATACACTAAGAGTGCAGCAAGACTAGCCAAAAACTATATATTATATATCAGTTATTTCTTTTCTGGTTGAGCAATGATCCTCCTTGATATCCTCAAACTTTAAACAGGAAGTGAAAGTGTTTGAAGATTAATTTTGTTTTCTTCTCAGAAACAGATTGGATCAGATCTTTGTTCATTTAAATTTATTATTTTCATTGTTGAAAATACAAGTACACAAGCACTGAACTCTTATGGATGTCATCAGTCCTATAGCAGCAACAGGCCTTGTCCACAGATTAAATACAGCATGGTGTGTTAATTTGTCGACATAGACAGATGCTGTTATCATGGGTATAGAATTGATGATATCCAAAATTAAGATTTCAGTGCTATGAATTTTCATTCTCTTATTTTCCCTCATCATGCAACATGCATGGTGTATTTATATCTAATCTGCCAGAATACTTAGAAGTGCTACAGTTATTTTGATAAATGTAATAGAATTTAAAAGTGCTCTGCTTATTTTAAATCTATGATGTGCAACATGTTAAAGCAAATTCTGCTTAGTCTGTCCTCATATACTTAATGTTTCTAATACAGCAAATATTATGTCTAATTATGTACTGCACTGCACATATACATGAAGATACCCTTATACATGTATGTATGTATTTGTTATGATTTAAGACTAAAAGTGATTTTTGAGTATTTATTTATTGTTTGATTTGTTATCAATGTCGATGTATAATAAAAGTAATAATTCTGATTTGTTGCAAATATAGTACTTATACTGATCATGCTGAATGTACATGTAAATTTTATTTCATATTTACAATTTACAGTTCTGTGTATGTATGAATCCAATTGAATTGATGAAAAACAAAACATAACATTTTAAGTGTGTGTACATGTACAATTATAAATGTCAGTCCCTACAGGTGCTCTAAAGAAATAACATGTAATTTGTTTGTCTAGCTCTTTTTCTGTCAATTCACCCACAAATTTTGTTTTAGACATCTTCATTAGGCATATGAGAGTATAAGACAAAATACATCATATTATGTACAAGGTGTTAATTCTGTCATCTGAATGGTAATAATTTTAAACTGAATCTAAAACAGACTTTTATGAAATACATAATCAACTCTGAACTGAATTATAATTTTAAAACAAATTGATGAAACATAAAAGTGATACATTTTCGTTACTGACCTAGGTCTATATAAAGACGTATAACTTTTTTTTTTTAAGTTTTCATGTATGTTTTTAGATAATTAGGTCACTAAAACTGCCAATTCTTTGAAAATGTGTAATACTGTATTGTTTAGTAACAAAAGGGTTTTTAATTATTTCTTCGTGGCAATTTAATTTCCCTTTTCAGTCCTTCCCCTCTTATAGATCTCTCAGCTGCTATACTGTGGACTGGAATTTTTTCCTGAATTTTTATTATTTGCATTTCTCAATGAGAAAAAGTACTGTATCTGCTTTTGTTACGTAGTTTATAAATTACAGCATGGTCATTTTAATCTTCAGTGTTTATATGTTCATTTCTCTTGAAAAGGCGCCACTTTTTCGAATTCCACTTTAGGGCGTGGAGACAGCTCCTTCAGATGAGACCGTGTACACTTCCCTATAAACCAAGGTCGTGCGTCGCAGTAGGTTTGACACAAGAAAGATACATTATTGTTCTGTGGTCCTGAGTGCTGAGCCTACATACCTACATCTATATCTATTCCTAAATAAAAATAGTCAGCGCGCCACTGGCAAATGGGGACGTCTCCATTTAAGTGAAACATTTTTGAAAGGGACGTTAGAAAGATGTAAATGGTAAAGATATCGAACAGTTGTCAATATATACAATACCAATATGTCAAGAGGGCCCCTGAAAATTCCAGAGGTGGGATCAGGTGCCTAGGAGGAGTAAGCATCCTCTGTTAACCGGTCATACCTGCCGTGAGCCATATGGCGGAACTATCCTTAGTCAATTCAGTTTAAAAACAAAGGCCTAACAATTGGTATGATACAAGTAAGCCAAAATACGACCAAATAATAGGTTATATTTATTAACAAGGTCATTATAACGAACACAAATTTACGAATAAATTACTGAATTTAAACGAAACTGCTGAAATCCCTGTAACATCAACTTATCAATGAATAGTCTGCCTCGATTTAAAATACATGTACATCATATTGGAGCAAGCTCTTTGCGTAGCGAATAAGTTAGAAGATAAAAATACCATAAGCAGTTGATAGTGGAATCGTCTATAGTCAGGAAAACATCTAAAAATTAAACATAAATGGCAGACTAAGTGGTGTCTTTCAATTCAAGTTCACAGTCAATATACGAATGAAAATAACTATTGTTTTGATAAAACATCGTCGATACATGTAATTACTTTGTGAATGTCCGATTCATGTATACCTGAATGTCGAGTTGATGTCACCACAGCTAGTATTTTTATCTTTAGAAAAAAAGCTGGTTCTTTTTTATTTATCTAGTGTTCTATAGATTGTTTTAGTTTTTTATATACTTTTAAATTTCAATGTGTTTTGCTTTGGTCAGTCAACATCGGAATGCGATATCAAAGAAGACACAAAACGATGAATTGATATATATAATTCTTAAAATGATTTGAATAAAATGAATTTTATTTAGGATTTTTTTTATAGGTTAAATTGAAATGTGAACGCCCATGCCACCAAATACCAGTTATTAATATTAATATGATAAACTCGTACGTACTTGAAAGATGTCTCAAAGTTTAAAAGTTTAGCTTGTTCGTTTTTGTACTGAATACTTCCTGCAATTTTAAAACAATATTACAATAAAACAATCTCGGCAAAATGAGCAATGTGAAGATACCGAACAGTGAACTTGATCAGAAGTCGATTTAAACGATACAAACTTTGAGCAGGGCCATCATGAACCTCTAGAATCCATGGAATCGGAAAGGAGTGCTTAGCATCCTTCGTCGAACGGTCACACCTGCCGAGTGCTTTTTATATCTCCCCGCAAACGAAATTTGGGGGGTATATAGGAATCACCTTGTCCGTCCGTCCGTCCGTCCGTCCGTCTGTCTGTGCAATCGTGTCCGGTCCATATCTTTCTTACAGAGGGACATTAGAATATACTACTCTACATAAAGATTGCCCATGACCCAAGGGTGTGTCATGACCTTGACCCAAGGTCATTTGGGGAACTTCAAGGTCACCGGAAGAAAAATTTCATAATTCATGTCCGGTCCATATCTTTCTTTATATGAATAAACTTGGTAGGTTCTCATTTCACACAAAGATTGCCCATGACCAAAGGGGTGTCATGACCTTGACCCAAGGTCATTTGGGGAACTTCAAGGTCACTGGAAGAAAAATTTCATAATTCGTGTCCAGTCCATATCTTTCTTATGAATAAACTTGGTAGGTTCTCATTTCACACAAAGATTGCCCATGACCCAAGGGTGTGTCATGACCTTGACCCAAGGTCATTTGGGGAACTTCAAGGTCACTGGAAGAAAAATTTCATAATTTGTGTCCGGTCCATATCTTTCTTATGGATAAACTTGGTAGGTTGTCATTTCACACAAAGATTGCCCATGACCCAAGGGTGTGTCATGACCTTGACCCAAGGTCATTTGGGGAACTTCAAGGTCACTGGAAGAAAAATTTCATAATTCATGTTTGATACATATCTTTATTATGGAAAAACTTACTTCTGAAATAACCCAGCGGGGGGTATTTTGTCCCGTTTGGACAGTTCTAGTTGTCATGGTCAGGTAATCAGACATCGTCTCAAGCCACGGTCCGGAGTCCGCATATAGCTCTCTCCTACCTGTGGCTGCTTGATCACAAAAAGTGTCGTAATCTTGAATATTTACGCCTCTCTATTGTGACGTCATATTCAGTCAGTGGCAAGTTTTGTTTCCATCGCAATCGAAATCAACAACTGACGTCAACAGTATACATTAAATATTTCCTATACTGCGATTGGATATTGAAAGGTCGTGATAAAGTTCATCATCCAACTATGCTTTACTCGCATTGTTCAATATTTTAATGAGCTACAGAGAATTCTCACCTCGTTCAACCACGGCCAGAATGGGAGAGGAGCGTACAGATTGGCCGTGGTTTGCAATGATGGTAATCAGAAAGCGGCGTATCTTAACAATTTATTGTCCCCCGCTTGAAAAGTGGGGGATATTAATTTGGGTCTGTCCGTCCGTCCGTCCGTCATTCTGTCTGTCTGTAACGCTTTCGTTTCCACACGATATCTTGAGAACCCTTTGAGCTTTCGCAATGAAATTTGGCATAGCAACTCCCTATGGACTAAAGAAGAACCCTATTGTTTTGGGGCCAAATGGTCAAAGGTCAAGGTCATAAATTCACAAAGTCTGTCTGTAATAACACTTTCGTTTCCGTGCGATATCTCAAGAACCCTTTGAGCTTTTGCAATGAAATTTGGCATAACAACTCCCTGTGGCCTAAGGAAGACCCCTATTGAGGTCAAAAGGTCAAAGTTCAAGGTCGTAAATTTATACATTCTGTCTGTGTATAACATTATCCCTTCTGGGCAATATTTCAAGAGGATTTTGAGCTTTTGCAATGTAATTTTATGCCAAAACTCCCTAGAACCTCTCTCACCCCTCTCAAAGTGTCCTGCCCCGTTTGTTTTATTAGTATTTATTGCATTACGTGTCGCTATTTTTAGTACAGGGGCATGTGTATAAAACAGGTTCCCGGCGGTCTTTATATTCTTATTACATCTGTTAGAACTGTTTAATAAAGGTTAAATTAGACACCATGCATTGTGTAAAATTTTGACAATATCGAACGTGAATATATACATGTATGTGACTTCATTTTTAGCATGTAATTTTCCTTTGCCTAAAGCAGTTCTGTGGTCTTAAGTGGTATGTCTCTCGCTTCACATGTGAGAGGTGTCGGGATCGAATCCCGGACGAACCATTATCTTTATTTTTCGCAATACTTTTTAGCTCACCTCAACGAAGTTGGGGGAGCTTATGTAATACCCTCGGCGTCGGCGTCCCAGGTTAAGGTTAAGTTTTTTGGAGCAGTTTTCTTTTTAAGTACTTCTATGTCCTATATTGATTAGACATGCATGGAAGATGGTTCTAGTGTGTTTCATTGTACCAGTCAAAGTTTCAGATGCTGCAATTTTAGCAAAGGAATGACCAGGTTAATGTTTTTGGAGCAGGTTAACATTTTTGGTGCAGTTTTTGGTGTAGGTTTCATTTCCAAGTAACTATAAGCCCTATGTTGACCAAACTTGTATTGATGATACATCTAAGGATGCATACTATCGAACTTGCTCCGGATGCTGAATCTGACCTATATTTTCTGGTTGAGTGAACAGGTTAAAGTTTTTGGTGCAAGTTTCATTTCCAAGTAACTATAAGCCCTATGTTGACCAAACTTGCATGGATGATACATTTAAGGATGCATACTACCAGGCTTGCTTCGGATGCTGAATCCGACCTACATTTTCTGGTTGAGTGAATAGGTTAAAGTTTTTGGTGCATGATTCATTTCCAAGTAACTATGAGTTCTTTAATGACCAAACTTGCATGGATGATCGATAAATATAAGGATGCATACTACCAGGCTTGCTTCGGATGCTGAATCTGACCTACTTTTTGTGGATGAGTGAAAATGTTAGTTTTTGATGGATGCTTCATTTCCAATTAACTATGAGCCCTATAATGAGCAAACTTGCTGTGCGATACATCTTAAGATGCACACTAATGGACTTGCTTCGGATGCTGAATTCGACATACATTTTTCAGATAATAGACCAGGTAAAAGTTATGGGTGCAGGTCTATTACCAAAGAACTATAAGGCTTATATAACATTGTATAAACCAAACTTGCACAAATGTTGCATCAAGAGATGAAAACTCTCAAATTTGCTTCAGATGCTGGATTTTGATTACATTTTCATGAAGAAGAACT